GGTATAACAACCTAAAAGTGATCCTGAAAGTGGCTTAAAAAAGTATGGTGATTAATGTAGAGCAACCAGCTTCAAGTTATAACAAATATAATGGGCAATAAAAAATGTGTCTCATAGCAAATGAAATGGTTACTACATCTCTTGGAGGTGAGGGTCATTCCATTATAAGATCTTCTCTTTTTATTGGTGACAACTACTCATATTGAAAGATTAGGATGAGATTGTTTATTCAAGCCAATGACTATAAAGTTTGGAGGGTTATTATAAATGGTCCATAAATTCTAATGAAAATGATGGATGATAAAAACATGGTCAAGCATGAAAGTGAATGGGATACCAATGATATCAAGATGGCTCAACTCAACGCTAAGGCAATGCATACACTCTTTTGTACATTAGGGCCTAGTGAGTACAATAGAGTTTTTTTATCTGAAAATGCAAAAAAAAATTGAGACAAGTTGGCCATCACTCATTAAGGTACTAATCAAGTGAAAAAGATAAAATTAACATACTTACTCATGATTATGAACTATTCAAGATGAAATTAGAAGAAACTATTATTGAAATATCAAACCGCATCATTGATATCATTAATGGTTTCAAAGCTTTTTGGAACATTTATTCAAATGTAGAGATAGTGAAGAAAATCCTAAATAGTCCATTAAAGAGTTGGAAAGCTAAGATAACAACCATTGAAGAATCTAAAGATTGTTACACACTCTCTTTAGATAAACTCATGGGTTCTCTCCTTATCTATGAGATAAAGCTCAAAAGAAGACAAGAACCAATCAAGAAAGGTGGTATCGCTTTCAAATCAACCTTTCAAAAAGATGAAAAAAAGTTTGAACAATATGAGGTTGATGAAGATAAAAAAATGGCCATGTTTGTAAAAAAGCTCAAGAAGTTTATGAAGATGAACAAATTCTCAAATAGAAAAAGACCACAAAGGAAAATGATTAAAAGAGAATCAAGTAAAAGAGAAAATGATCAAATTATTTACTATGATTACAGCAAACCAGGTCATATCAAATTTGATTGTCTTTTATGGAAGAAGGAAAACACAATGAAGCCAAAGAAAAAAGCAATGGTTGCAATATAGAGTGATAATGACTTCTTCAATAATGAATTAAATGAGGAGAAAATAGCCAACCTATGTCTCATGGCTCTTGATGAGCCTAAGATAATTTGTAATCCAAATGATTTAAGTTCATACATATTTGATGAGTTACAAAATGCTTTTGATGAATTAGTTATAGAATTTAAAAGCATGAATATGAAGTATAGGAAAATGATTTTTAAGTTGAAATTAGAGAATTCTTGACTAAAGCAAAGAATGACTTAGAAAAGAAAATTGAGCTTTTAAAATCGAATGTTGATGATTTGACTAAAAAAATAAGAATTTGCATAACTTATTTTCTAGATTTTATATGGGACATTAAAAACTCAATGACATATTTGAAACACAAAGAGCATTCTTTGATAAAGATGGATTAGGCTATAATGGTGGTGACAAAAAGACTCATTTGAAGAATTTTCTTGTTAAGCCAAATGATTCATCTAGTGTATATACATATTATAGTAAATTAGATCATTCTATACAATATTGTTTCTTGAAAAAAATCACTTATAGAGATAAACTCATTAGGAGTGTGTGGATTTCAAAAAGAGTTAGCACGTCTCAAGATGAGATTATTAGGATGAAGTAGATTCCAAAAAGTACAAGAATTATGAGTACTAACACTCAAAGACCTAAGAAAGTTTGGATACCCAAAACAAAAATTTGATTATATTCTTGTAGGTGAATGATCATTATTACAAGATAAATTTAAGCAAGAACAATCCATGGTATCTTGATAGTGGATGCTCAAAGCACATGACTAGAGACAAAGTTCAATTCAAGGATTTAAAAGCTAAAAATGCAAGAGATGTTACATTTAGAGACAACTCTAAAAGCTAAATTAAAGGGATTGGCTCCATTGGTAACAATTCTTCTACTACTATTGAAAATGTTTTACATGTGAAAAGACTCAAGCATAATTTACTTAACATTAGTCAATTGTGTGATAAAGGACTTAAAGTTGTGTTTGAATCTATGTGTTATCAAGTGATTAATATCAAGACTAACAAACTAGTTTTTATTAGACATCATCAAAGAAATGTTTATGTGGTGTATTTGAATGATCTATCTTTTAAAAATGTTTGTTTTATGGCTAAAAAAAATGAAAGTTGGATTTGGCATAGAAGATTGGACATGCAAGTATGCATGTAATTTCAAAACTTTTTCAAAATGATTTGGTTGTTGGTTTACCAAAATTGAAATATGAAAATGACAAGGTTTGTAATGCATGTACTCAAGGAAAACATAAAAAAGTCATTTTCAAATCTAAGAATTGTGTTTCAACTACTAAACCTCTTTAACTACTTTATATTGATCTTTTTGGTCCTATTAGAATAATGAACCTTTGTGAAAAACAATATGGGTTTGCTATAAGTAATCTATTAAATAAATTAGGTATTAACATTATGAGTGATAAAAAGATTGTGTTCAATGACCCATTTAGCATTTTTGGAATTTATATTTTGCATAATATGTGGTATACATAGAATGCAGTTGGTTTGTGGATTAAAAAGACAGAAATTGAGGTTGTGCAAAAAGAACAATAGTATGATGTTTCATATATTCCTCAAGAAAAACCCTCTAGTCCACCATTTGATACTCAAAGTACACTACAAATTATGATAGTTCAAATAAATAGTTTGCACCCCATGGTTGGAAACATGAACTTGAGGCTTGAAATTTTGGAGTTAAATTAGAATGCAATGACTAAAGAAATTTGCCAAATGATGATTGAGATGAACTAGCACTTTCACCATTTTTCACCTTATCTTCTTCTTTAATGATCCACCATGATGCCATGCTTTAGATGTTTTCTCTACATATCTATCTTTTTAAGTTTTAATTTTTTTAAAGACACTTTGCATTTTGTTTTAAACTTTGGTATCTGACGTTTATATTAATGATATATGCATTTCATTTTCATAATAGCATTTGAAATATTGCATTAGAGCTGGTTTTAAATTGATGTTATTGTTGCTTTGCTATGGCATCGAGTTGTTGAATTAGGCTGATTTGATTTGAACATATATTGAGCTTATTGTTGCCTTGAATTGATTGCTATATTACTTTGATTGTCTTGTTCTTTTTGCTGAAAAAGTATTGAAATAGAAAATTTTTAGCTAAAGTTGGAAAAGATTTGTAAGAAGGAAAAAAGGAGAAAAATCCTAGGCTCATGCCTAAATGAATATATTGATACTGCCTTATCTATTAACGATCTTAATCTTGATATTGATCGCATTTTGATCACATTGCTTATTTGTTTGATGACTTGCTTACTTATTATAAGGGGAGTAATCCTAAATGGATAGATGGATATTGCCTTATCTATTAATGATCTTGACATTGATGGTTATATTCTTGTTCTTAGCTTTTTTAAATTTCTTAATGCTTAAATTCAAGGGGAGCCTACTTTTCAAATAGAAAAATGTTTTTAAAATAAAATTTTCATTTAATTTTGTTATATCAAAAAGGGAGATATTGTTAGCCTTGAATTGATCATAGTTTTTGAATAGACAAAATAAAATTTTGCCTAACTTGAATCAAATTTATTTCATCTCATATGAAACATTTGTCCAGCCTTCTATCTTGCTAAGAATACTTTTGAACCAAAACAGAACACATTCAAAAACAAAAATGAACTTTAGACAAATTGAGGTAGAATGGATCAATCCCTAAGATGAGGGATCGATCCTCTCGCATGACCTGATCGACTTCTGGTTAAAAGGATGATCTATTGTTCTTCTAGTAGCTTATCTTAAACAAGTTTTTCAAAAATCAATTGATACCCTCCCTGTAGGGATCGATTGGTTAGGGTTTCAAAGTGACCCTATCGATCCCTCTTTAAGGGATCAATCCATTTTTTATACAAAAACAAATTTGTTTTAAAAACTTGTAGAAAGAATCGATCACCCTACAAAGGGATCGATCACCTAGGATAGGGGATCAATCAGCTACTTTACCTAATCAATTAGGTAGTCTTATAATACATAAAATTGGTCTTTATTTTAACTTACTCAATCGATCCTTTATATGAAGGGATCGATCCCCTGGTGCCTAAAAAGCCCCAACGGCTATTTTTTTATTTGAAATTTTGTAGTCTCCTAACATTTAATGAAAGCAATGACTACCTTTCACTCTCAACATATAAATGAAGGTTTCCCACTGCATTTGAAGACATGAAGAGCCAAGAAAACTTATTACTTCCATCTACCATTTTCTCCAAGCATTAAAGAGCATTCTAGTTAAGAAAAGTGCAAAAATTATTGTTGTATTTGTTTTTCTCTTGATATTCTTCTCAATCTTGATTTGTACTTCAAACTAGCAAACACTCAACCTTAAAGAGATTTTTTGAGTTTGCAAAATACTTAAAAGCTTATATTGTGATGTTATGAGCTTAAGGGGGAGGATAACCCTTAAAAGATTGTGCTGTTGATTGTATAGAGCTTTGAAGAGATAGGTTGTAACATTCAACACATAGTAGATTACACTTCTTGGCAAGTGAGGCTAAGAGAGAGGTTGTAAGTGCCTAAAAGAAGGGTCGAACCTGTATAAATTTTGGTGTTTGATTTTCTATCTCTGTCTCTTGCTTTTAAGATTATTAGTATACTCATATTTGTTATACTTATTTGCTTAGAAAAATTTATTTGTGAAATTTGTACTTATTGGATATTGAATTTTGAAAATTTTATTATCAACTAATTCACCCCCCTTGGTTTATTTCAAGTCTTTGAGTTAATATTTTGGAAGGGCACTGTGAGGGTGTTATAACCTTCTTTATGCGTAATTACACTTTTCAAACCTAAAATTTGGTTTCGTAGACTAAAATCTATTTTTTAAAGATATTTGAATCAAGTTTGAGACTCTTCTTTAAAATAAAACAGATTCAATTAAATGGTTCATCACACCAAAACAAAAAAGATTGATAACGACTTCTAAGGTCTATGTCTGGTGATGAGTTCACAAATCTATATGTCATGATACTTATTATAGTGAGCCAGTTTATGAGGTGCCTATTCCCTGAGCGAAGAACATGCAAAACATTACAAGAGTGGAATAAAGACATTCTTCTCCTGGTTTCCTCAATGATCACGCCTATACGTGAAAAATCCATTATTGTCATATTCAGGCTCCTTACAACTGTAAAACAGTCACCTTTAAGTTCAATATTTGTAAAACCCATTTCAGGAGCAAATTGCAGTGATAAGACTGCTGCTCTGGATTCAACTAAGAACAAATCATTAACAGCATGAATTTGGATTGTTGCAGCACCTAGAACTTGTCCGTTATGGTCCCTAATAACTATCCTAGCTCCACCCTTTCTGTCTTGTTTGGCAAGTGCACCATCAAAGTTCACCTTCACTCTCCCTTCTACAGGCCTTAACCAGTATTTGGACCACGTAGGTTGGTTGACGCATGCGACTTGTGCGTTGTTGAACTCAGCATGGTACTGTTTAATAAAAGCAGCAATAGCCTGGGTGGTTTTTGTTTGTTCACCATGTATCTCATTGTTCCGTTCTCCCCATATACCCCAGATGGCTGTCATAAACAGCTCACTTGTTTTTATTCAATCGTTCAATTACCTACTGAAACCACGTCCCTGCTTTGTTGAAGTTGCTCCAAGTTTCTTGAAACAAAGATAAGTGCCACCACACACTTTCAGCATGCATACAATGAATGACGACATGTATCACAGTCTTGTCCGTTTCCCCACATTTGGATATATGGTATTAACTTCAACCTTCCTTCTATTTAGGTTTTCCTTGGTTGGCAGTATCTCTCTGTATGCCTACCACACAAGCATTTTAACTTTCGGTTGGACTATATCTCCCTAAAGTTTAATTTCTTATTTTTGTTCTCCCTTGGTCATTCCTAAGTCCCTCGTCTTGTTCTGCCTGCATCAACATTTTGTACCCACTTTTGACAAAATAGGTGCCCTTATTGTCATAGTGCCACACTAAAACATCCGGCCTTCTAGTGGAGCTGACTGGTATTGCGCATATAACTTCTATTTCGTGTTCTATGAACAAATGGCTTATTAACTCTTGGTTCCAGCATGCTTCTTGTTGGTCCAACAATTTAGCCACAAGTTGTAGTTCGCACAAGTCCTCCCATTGAGACTGGACTTTAAACGACCAAGTTGTAGGTATCCAACTATCCTTCCAGATTTGAATGTTAAGTCCATTACCAACCATCCACCTTAACCCCTTCTCCAGCACACTCCTTGCCCCCCATATACTCCTCCATGTTAGTGATGGGTTTGTCTCCAAGTTTGCTTCCATGAAAGATGTTGTGGGAAAATACCATGCTCTCAGAATTTGTGTCACCAAAGTATTGTTTGTTGAAATGATTCTCCAACATTGCTTGGCTAGCATTGCATTGTTGAAGGCCTCCATATCTCTAAATCCTAGCCCTCCTCTATTTTTTGGAAGACAAAGCTCCATCCACCTTAACCAGTGTATTCCTTTTTACTTGTTCATTTTCTTCCACCAATACCTGCCAATGATGCTATTTATTTTTATATATAGGCTCTTCGGCAACATGAAGTAGTTCATAGCATAGGATGTCATGGACTGTATTATCGCCTTGATAAAGATCTCCTTGCTGCCTTATGAGAGGTATCTGTTACTCCACCCTTCCATCTTTGCCTTAATTCTTTTTTTAATATCGAGGAATGCTCTTGATTTGTTCCTTCCCACAATTTAAGTCAAGCCAAGATATTTCTCTGGGTTTATGGTTGCTTGTACACCGAACATTTCTTTGAACACTTCTTTTTGTTATTCTCCCGTACTTTGCTATAATATAGCGCTGACTTGTCAAAGTTTATTAGCTGTTCAGAGCCTTCTTCATGTTTCTATAACATGCTCTTCACCCTATCGCCTTTGCTTAGTGTCGCCATCGCGAACAGTAAGCTATCGTCTACAAAGAACATGTGAGTGACCCTGGGGCCATTTTGGCTTGCTTAGACTCCTTTCACCAAGCCCTCTCTTTGAGCTTTAGCTAATATCGATGACAGGCCTTCACTGTACCATAGTAATAAGTAGACAATGGTCTCCTTGTCTGAGACCCCTCTCTAGCCAGAATTTGTCAGTAGTACATCCATTGACAATAAGAGAATAGGAGACAGTTATAACATAATTCATTAGAAGATCAATCTCTCTCTTCCTAAACCCCAATCTCTCCCCATCATCTCCTTTAAGAAAGACTAGTCTATCCTATCGTATGCTTTACTCATATCTAATTTTAGAGCAAAGTAACCGGTCTTCCCATTTCTCCTTTTCTTAAAGAATGGAGTTCATAAGCTGCTACCACATTATCATTTTTAAGGTGACCGGAGAAAAATGCACTCTGATTTTCGCCGATGCATTGTGGTAGAACAGCCTTAGGCCTATTAGCAAGCACCTTGGCAATAATTTTATACACTACATTACAAAAGGCTAATGGGTCTAAATTGGGTGATCTTACGAAAGTCTTTTAACTTGGGAATTAACACAATTTTGGTATGGTTAACGATTCCTATATTCCCATCCCCATTGAGAACAGAAAGACAAAATTGAATTACATCACTATCAACAACATGCTAATATTTCTGAAAAGATAATGCCGGCTTACCATCTGGTCTTGGAGCTTTTAGAGGGTGCACGTGTTTAATTGCTGTTTGAACCTTATCAGCTATGAACTCCATCTCTAGAAGATCGTTTATCTCATTGGACACTCGGTTTTCCACTGCCTGCGAAATATCTTCCATGTTACCATGTCCATGGGATTGAAATAATTGCTTGAAATAGTTAATGGCCTCCAGAATCCCATCCTCGTCTTCGCACCATTTCCCTCTTTGATCCTTCAATCCCCTTATACTGTTACATCTTCTGTGCTAGCTTGCTTTTGCATGAAAAAAGGCTGTGTTCTAATCCCCTTCTCCCAGCTAGTTAATACATAAGCATTGAGCCCAGAAAGCCTCTTCCATTTCAATTGCTTTGTTCAGCTCGTTTCTCAAGGTGCCTAGTCTTTCAAGAATGGATTGGGTCGGCGTGGCATTGCTTAAAACTTTGAGTTCCTTGGTAAGTGAGTTTACTCTCCCATGCATGCCCATGAAGATGTCTTTGTACCACCTTGCAAGTTACTTTACCGTGGAGCCCGATTTTGCAGTCCAAAATTCTTCCCTGCAATCCTCCGAAATGCCTTTTATTATTTCTTCACACTCATGTTCTTTAACCCAAGAACTTTCAAACCGAAATTTTCTTTTCTTCTTTGGCCATTTGTTGCATCTCCCCATGGTTTCGGTAATGACCAAGATCGGATTGTAGTCCGAGACAGCCACTACTAGGTGGTTCACTATATGTGTTGGAAATCTTTCCTCCCAAGCTTGGTTAGCAACACGTCTATCGAGTCTCTCTCATACGTTGTTTATGGAGCTATTCCCTCGCTCCCATGTGAACCATTGTCCCCGGTACCCCAGATCCTCCAGCCCGGCCTCTTGCAGAGCTAAGCGAAGCTCCTCCATTTGTCTTTCTCTTCTTTAGAATCGACCCGTCTTCTCATGCAACCACATGATTTCATTGAAATCCCCTATACACATCCACGGTTTAGTATTTTGTGTTGCCAAATTTCTCAAAATATACCATGCTTGCCTCTTCATTCTAGTTTCAGGTTTTTCATAGAAACCTGTCAGCCTTCATTCTTGTGTATCATCCCCTTCCTTGACGTCCATGTCAATATGGTTTTTCGAATAGCTCAATAGTTGTAGTTGTATCCCTTTTTCCCAAAGCATCACTAAGCCCTCTTTAGTTCCTTATGCATCAACACTGAAACATGACTTCATCCCAAATTTTCTTTTGATATATTCTTTCCTCCGAGCATGTAGTTTTGTTTCAATAAAATTAAAAAAAAAAAAAAAGAAACTACATAAGGATCTTCTGTCTTCAGCAGTTGCCAAAGTGCTCGAACTACTCGTGGGTTCCCAAGCCCACGGCAGTTCCTGGACAAGCATTTCATGGCTCTCAGTGGGGCTGGCACCCTGCCTCCATCGCTTGTATTGGTAGTCCCTCTTGAGAATGCTCTCCTATCCTTGCCTTTTTGACCTGGTTGTCATCCACCTCTGGTTCACTAGCCAAGTCCACATCCATATCAGTCATTCTTCTTTTACCCAAGTTTATCTCCATTTTGCATGAATCTTCGGTCTGGCCTCGAGCTTTCCTTTTCCGACTGGACCTCGCTTTGCCCCGGACTTCCTTTGTTTGTCGTGGGTTTGGTACGATGCTAGCAGTCCCCACCCTTTCCATAAAAGTCTCAATCCTAGCTCCCCCACGTGTGGATTCTATCTTGTCATTTTTTCCCACACCCACCTCCACTTGTCCTTTGTTTGGGTCGTCACTTGTCCGTGTCCTTCCTTCCCCATTTCCACGTAGTATAGCATTGTCACACGTGATATCCTCATACATGGTGTTGTTTGCGTCGAACTTTTGCATGGGGTCTTCTTATTTAAATAATTCCCAAATATCCCCGCATCAGTTACTCCCTGAAATCTTGCCTTTAGGTTCTCCACTGGTTTTGGTTGCACACAGCTCTGCCCTCCAACTGTCACGTCTCCCACCAATCCTCCATCATTTCCACCGCCGCCACCCATATGCGCATCCGTTTCCCCCGATTTCTTTTGTTTGCTAGATCAACCTCCATTTACATGTATGTGTGTATACCCTTTCTTCATTGGAGATGCGCGCAGCCAGTCACCATTCTGGTTCATTTCCTCCATCTCTGTATTCTCCTCTTCATTATCTTTGCAGTCACTTTCAGTATGGTCCATCATCCCACAAATATAGCAAAAGTCTAGCAACCTTTCATACTTGAGTTTGCCTCATATGATATCGTTTCTTCCTTGCGCCGCCAGGGCTATGAATCGTTTACGGGGCTTAGTCACAACCTATGTGAACTCTTATCCTCAAAAACTGACCCCATCCTTGCCCTTCCTTATTGTCATCTATACCAACAACAGATCCAATCTTCTACCCGATTTTCCAAGCCACTTTGGTGTTGATCCACTTTAAAGGGATATCATACACTCTCACCCAGAAGAGGGCCGTGTCAAACATGTAATCTGATGGTCTCAAATCCCCATTATAATCTTGCAGCAGTAATAATTTTTTATCAAAAGTCCATGGCGCTCTTTCCATAACCCGTGATTTATCTTTTCTCGATCCAAACTTAAAGAGGAAGAGACTATCGTCCACCACACAGATATGGACTTCATGGATCAGCTTCCATATAAGCCTAAAAGTACTGATCATTGCATCTCTGTTGAAAGGTCGAGTGGTTAACAACCTCCCTACCATCCAGCAATCTGTTTCTATATTCCCCTTCTCCTCTTGATTTGTTTCAATCTATATGTTTTCATTCTCATCCTGAGTAACCCTTAAATTTTTCCATACTTCTCCCAACTCTTTTGCCATGCCGATTTACTAAAACCACTAACTTCCTTGCCTCTTATTGCCACTAAAACTATTACTCACTAACTATTCAACGTCCAAGGTCGCTTCATCAAAGAAATCTTGAATGCAGACTTTGTATCCAACTAGGAACTCACTTTTTCCATGGAGCATAGTGTTTGAGAAGAAATGTTAAGTTGTTACAGAATGATTCAAAATTATTGTTATACATCAAGAATAAAATTTTTAAATTTTATAAAATAAT